TATGATACTTATGCAATAGCAGATAAAATCATATAGATCAAGTTTATCAATACAACTCAAAAAAAAATTGTCTTGGGCACCAATAAAAAAATTCAATTAATTACAAAGAAACATATCGGAAGGTTTTTTTTATTCGTGTCAAAGACAATACTTTTGAGTTGTATTTATAAACTTGATCTCTAAGATAAAAAAAAGTAATTATAACCTTTGGGATACCCAGTACGATTATTCTATTTTAAACAAAATCTGACATTCATTATCTTAATGACTGTTAATAACTAGATACGCTAATTTGAGCTGTATAATGATGATTTAATAGTCAAGCATGGTACAAAAAGAAAGATCCTAACCATTTAAATATTTTTTTCTCATTTCTAGACAATGAATACAAATGATACATTATGTATTGATATATCATTTCAATTCCTTAATAATATCGAATGTATTATAAGTCGTATATTTGGTTCAATAATAATTTTTATATCTTTTTTTTCCATATTATTTAATATTCGTTATCTCTATTGGTCATCTTATCATCGACAAAATCATTCACATCCAAATTTATTTATTCTATCCATGATGTTTTCATCATTATTAGTTATTATTATTATAATGCCATCAATTATTTTACAATATTTAACATGTAATCATTTATGTTCATTATTTTATTGTCAATTCGAAGGTTTTATATCTTATTTAAATGGTTGTGTTCATATGTTTATGTTAATGATGATTTCAATTATACGTTATGATACTGTTCTTCGTATAAATCTAACAAAACAATATTTTAAACGACATTCATATATAACTATTCTTATTTGTTGGTTATTTGCATTTGCATTTGCTTTACCACCCTTATTCAATTGGAATAAATATACACCTGAAGGACTTGGTTTTCATTGTGGATTAAATTGGATTGATCGATCATTTCATTCTCTTTTATATTTAATTTTTGCTTTTCTCTTTGTTTATATTATTCCATTAACGATTTTATCTATTCTTAATATTTATATTTATTTTGTTATCTATCGTCTTCTTCATGGAGCATCGACAATAGCTCGTCAATCTTTAACATCATTATCACCAGCTGATAGTTTATTACTCGAAAGAAGTCATTCATCACCATTCATATCAGTACATAGTAATAATAGTCCAGTATATTCAGTTAAACTTGGTATAATAAAGTTTTCTGATCTTATACCTGTTACCGCTAATCATTTACGAACTCGTCGTATGACTGATCCATTTCAAACTCATCATATAATGCGTCTGAAACGTTTAAAAGCTGATCGACGTTTTGCATTAGCAACTATATTTTTAGTTAGCGAATATTTACTTAGTTGGACACCGTATGCTTGTATTGCGTTACTCTATTTATTTCATATACAATTTATAATAGATCAACGATTAATAATTACAATATGTGCATTTATTGCAAAAATTTCAATGATTATCAATCCATTTATTTATATATCAACAATAAAAATTAATCAACTAAAAACAATTCTATATTTGAAAAAATGTTCATGTCATAGATGTAGAAAATAAACGTACGATTTAATCTCATGCTTGTATTATCCGTTACATGTTGTTTTTAAAAATAATAACTTAGTTGATTTTCGCGAATTTATGAATTCAAATTTTTTCCCAGTAAAAAAATGCAGATATATAGGCATTTCTAGAATATCCTTTAAGAAACAAGCAACGCTCGTCCGAGGACTCGCTTAGCTCTTTCTCGTAGAAATCCATTTTCTTCACATTTACTGGAAAAACAAATGAAAAACATAAAAAATTGATTTTCGATGTTTTTTTTGACCCTGCGGACATGCAATCAATCAATCAAGCAGACAATTTAAGTTTGCAAGACTCTTCTCTATGAGAAAGAGAACTCTATAATTTATTTTCTTGTTTACAATTTATTATTTATTATTTAAATTAACAATACATTAGTCAATAAAAAAATTCTTATTTAAAACTAAATCAGATCACAGTTTAAATCTACTTGTTATAGTACTGTTGTTGTGTTAACTTTTTCATCACGAATAGAAATGTCTTGTAAAATGATATGCTCGTCAATATCACAATTTTTATTCATATACGATTCGATTTTGGGTTTTGTAGCAGATAATTCATTTATAGTCATTTTCGTCCAATCTTTTTTGTTAGTTATATGTTTCGCGTTGTAGACAAGTATGATTTTACTGTAGAATAATTGTGCAATACCTAAGATTCCAACAATTGTACAAGGTAAAAATATCGCTTTGATAAGTAATAATTGATATACGAAGTATCCGGTTAATCCACCAAGACAAAATCCACTATATATAGGTAACAAAACTTTCAATTTCCAAATATGTTTTCGAGTTCGAGGATAGAAAATTGCTTGTCCTACAATTAAACCAATATCTGTAAGAGTACCTGTTACATGTGTTGTACGAATAACAGCACCGGAAAATGTAGTACACATACCATTTTGAAGACCAAATGCAAGAGACATTAAATATGCACCTAATTGCAAAGATATAGATGATTCACGAAAATTCAATGTCGTTTTCTATGAGAAAAAAAATAGATAATATTTTTTAATAATTTCTTTAGACTTACTTCAAATAAATAACTAAGAGTAAGTGCCAAAGATTCAAGAAGTAATACTAAACCATAGGATCGATTAATTCGAAAAGATGAACCTCCAACTACTGCTGCTGATATAAAACTTCCCAATACAAACGAAAATATCATAAGAAAAAAATGTAGTGTCATGTTAAAATTGCCTTTGCCTAATTCAATAATCATTTTTGATGTAGCACCTGTAAATGCCGATACAGGTGTTTGAAAAAAACCAATAATACATATAGTATTAACATAACCTGCAATAAAAGATAAAAGACAACCAGTTGCAACCAAAGCTGAAAAATGAAGAACATCATAAGATTGAATATGTCCAGTTGGTGAGATAATTGTTGGACGACGCGATAATTTTCTCATTTTACTATTTTCCATCAAAATAGTCCAAATAATGATTTTTACTCGTACAACTTGATTGAATTAATAAATATTTTGTTTTGTGTGTGTATTCATCAAAAACATCGATTGTATTTATATGTTTACACAATCATTATCGCTCGAAGGCTTATATTTTTTCATTTCATTTAATTCGGTACAATATAAATAGCAAAAGAATTTTTATTTACACATCCATCAACACTCTTCAATTACTTTGTTTTCCTTTCAAAAATAGATGTAAATGGACTCTTACAACTTCAATTATTTTTTTTATTAATCATTTAAAATAAATATATAATCTAATGTACGTGAATATACTATTAACTAAAAAAATATACTAAATATTAAGGTTTGATTAAATAAAAAGGCACTGTTTTTTTTATTTTCCATGATCTTTCTTTGCCATAAATTGAATAAGATCAACAACACGATTTGAATAACCATATTCATTATCATACCATGAGACAAGTTTAACAAAATTATCACTAAGTGAAATACCGGCTTTAGCATCAAATATTGATGAATTTGTATCACCAATAAAATCACTTGATACAACTTCTTCATCAGTATAAGCTAGAATACCTTTCATTGGACCATTGGCGGCTTCTTTAATTGCAGCACAAATATCAGCGTATTTAGCCTTGAGAATAAAATAAACTAATTTAAATAATTATGAAATATATATATAACATACGCCTTTGTCTAATCGAGCAGTAAGATCAACAACCGATACATTTGGTGTTGGAACACGAAAAGACATGCCTGTTAATTTTCCATTCAATTCAGGAATAACTTTTCCAACCTATTGATTACAAATACGAGTATTTTTATTGTTTGTTTTTTTCAAATTTTTATACATACAGCTTTAGCAGCTCCAGTTGATGATGGAATAATATTTTGAGCACCTCCACGTCCACCACGCCAATCCTTAGGAGAAAAAAAATAATTGTAAAACTTTCGAAAAAAATCCATATGTGACCTACTTTATTTGAAGGTCCATCAACTGTTTTTTGTGTTGCTGTATATGAATGTACAGTTGTCATTAAAGCTTCAACAATACCGAATTTTTCATGAATAACTTTAGCAAGTGGTGCTAAACAATTTGTTGTACATGATGCATTTGAAACAACGCTTTCACTGCCAGTATATTTATCTTCATTAACTCCCATAACAAACATTGGTGCATCAGCTGATGGTGCTGTTATAACAACTTTCTTTGCGCCAGCTTGTAAATGTGGTTGACATTTATCAATTGTTGTAAATACACCGGTTGATTCAACAACATATTCAGCACCTTTTAAAAAACGAAATTTTATTATTTTTTTAATCAAAATTTAATATTACCAAGTTGTCCCCATGGAATTTTCGATGGGTCTTTTCTAGAAAATAAATCGACTTATTTTTTTTTCGGAACACAAAAAACAACAATCAATCTTTACTCAGTAAATACGGCTATTTCTTTTCCATTAACAATAAGTTTTCCATCTTTTGTTGATACTTCACCTTTAAATCGTCCATGTGTTGAATCATATTTAAACATATAAACCATATAATCAGCTGGAACAAATGGATCTAGAAAAATACCCGTTTTTTTTAAATTTTAAATCAATAGGAGCCTAATTAACTAACCATTGATACCAACTACCTGTGCACCTTTTTCAAGTGCACATCGAAATACAAGACGACCAATACGTCCAAAACCATTGATACCAATTTTAACATCAGATGATGATGACATGTTGAGTAACAAAAATAAAGAAAGACTTGGAAATCTGTAATATGAGAAAGAAAGAAACGATATATAGGTCACGATCAAAATAACTATAAAGATTATCGGAAAACAACAACTTTCCCTTTCTCGGTACAAACGAGACAGAATTCTCGAAAATTGTTACATGTGTTAATAGCGACCTCTTTTGATTATTTTCTTATTTTGATTTATTTTATATTCATAACTCTTTTGAAAACATGTACAGTTATTTAGAAAAAATTTTCTACAATTAAAACCATTTTTAATGGTTAATAAAAACGTTAAACCATACAGCTGAGTCACTCAATATCTTCTTTTATTGTCTTTTTAAAACAAAAAATTACATAAGTGTTATAACTTTCAAATGTTTATTAAGGATATATTTCTATTGGAATAATTGTTCCATGTTGCTGTCTCATTTCAATTAATTCTTTTAATAAAACACGTTTTTCAGTTTCTAATAATTTTATTTGGTTATCTTTTTCTTTCAATTGATTATTTGCTTCATTAATTGATACTGAACTTGATGATTTCTATTCCAAAAACAAACAAACAAATATCAATCAATAAAAATTTCGAAAATAATTACTTTAAAATCATAATTTACATGTTCAATAACTGTATATGCTAATTTAAATAAATCTGCAATTAAATCTCGATTATACATTGATTCCGCAACTAACCCCATTGCCTAAAAATGAAGTCGGACAAAGATATTTTTCTTTTCTTCAGGAAAAAACGAACTTCTGTTATTGCTAAATAACGACAATACGATTTTTGTTTCTCTTTCATGTCAAGAAGACGATCAGTTAAATAAAATTTCACACGATCAAGTGTATCACATGTTTGAATAAGAAGATTACGTTCAAATTCAAATTGTTTCAAAGATCGAATCTGAAATTAACCGAAAACAAAAAAAAGTAATACAATCAAATAAATTCTATTCAAACTTGAGATAAATCAATTTCATTAGCTGCATAATAAACTGGATTTGATATATTTCTTTCGAAATTTTGATAAATCAATGGAATTTGAGGAGTATCTATTGGAAATGAAATTGACGAACGTATAGATTTTGGTATTCGAATAATGGGTGGTTGTTGTTTTATTCTTGAAAATGAACGTTTAATAACATTTATAAGTAGATTAAATGAAATAAAATAATTATTTATTTTTGATTCATTTTCAAGTTCATTTAAAAAGCTTAATGTTGATAATGATGAACAATCAAAATAACGTTTAAATACATCAAATGATATATAACCACAATTGGTTTTATCAAGTATAGAAAATAATTGACGTAATGATGAAATAAATGTTTCAGGAAGTAATGAATTTAAATGATTTTCATCCGATGAAAATTGAAGAGAATGAACTCGATATTTTCTTTCATTCATAATTTATCTAGAAATGCAATAAGCTACAAACTGAACGATATGAATAAGGCATATCAGAAATTGATATATATGTCTGTCTACATACCCTGAGGGAATATATATATATATATATATATGCATAGAAGCCAGATAATTAAAGAAATATTCCTATTACACTTACATGAGATTTATATTTTTTTATGTAAAATAATATGTGTCATTGTTTTGTTTAAACCATTGAACTTATGGATACATATATGTGTGTGTTCTCATTTGTCTTTATGTGAATATATGTACGCAAATCGAAATATGTATCTTGTTATTATCATGATCATTTTTAATAAATACCTTTCGTTCAATTTCATTTTTTGAAATGAACTCTAAGTAAAAATTAATCGAAAATACAATGAATCATCATTTATATATATATATCTATACATTATGGATGAGATATTTTTGATAGTAAGAAAATGATGATATTGTATGATTTGATTAGAATAGGCAATAAGACAACAAAATCTTATCTGTTCTCTCATATATAAATCGAATGATATCTCCGTTTTGTTCTTTTCTCTAATGATTGACCATATATGGAATATATTAAAATGAATAATGATGATTAATAGTAAATGAATGTCAATGAATTATCTAGCAATAAATCATATATATAAGTAATAAGTTATTTTTTTGGAATAAAATATATCGGTTAAACTTTGAACTAGAAGACGTTAAAGAATAAAACGAATGTATTATTATTGATAATCATATATTGTCAAGATAATTGGTTTTATTGAAGTTTATATATACTAATTTGTTAATAATATCATGTCAAAAGTTCGTCGTAATCTACTTAAATATATTTGAGATAGATATGAAACTATAAATTTACAATTGTAGAAGATTTTTTATAATCACTTAGAATATTTTCAATTCCATATATCTATGATAATCCAATGAGAACAATCATCATTATCTCTAAATAGTCCGTAGGCAATAAGTGTCTAAATATAAGATAATTTTTCATAGGTAATAATACATCCTCTGGCTATGTTATCGATACATATTATCTGATATTCTCGCGAACGTTTGTTTTTAATGCAATTATAGATTTGTTCTATTATGAGAAGGATATTTCATGTAAATAAAGACGTTTTGAAATCATACAATGGCCGGAATACATAGTTAAGAGTCATGTTTTTTTGTTTTCTATTGATAGCTTTCAAGTATGAAATATTTTTAACTTGAATTACAAACAATTTTAATATAATGTACCTTTATAAAACTACTATACAATATTTTAATCAAAACGTTACATAATTCCGTTTAAAAAAAATTAATGACTAATTAGTTTATGATTTGCAGCTTTGACTGAAATTTCATATTGTAAAAATAACACATCCTCTTTTGGTATAATAAACTGATGTGAACCAAATATACCTCGTACTTCAAATAATCTTGGAGTACGACAACAACGTCCACAACATGTACATAAGAAACAACAACAATGACGAGTATTTCTTGATTCACGTATTCCAGCTATATCTTGTAGAATAATCGAAACATTCATATGATGTTTCATACAACATTTTCTTTTCTCCGTTCGTATAAGTAAACGTGCATCACTCAATGTCGTATGATAAGTCGTTGTAGATCCACAATTTCTTTGTTCAACTGTCCATTTATGTAAGAAATTTTCATTTCCCATTATACCAAAACTATTGAGAATATCATCATTTTCTGGTTGTGTTATTATATAATTCGGACTAACTTTTGACATGAATATTAACTCAATCAAAAAAAAGAAAAACGCTTCGACGACAATTTCATGTACATTCTCTCAATTATACTAAAATAGCAGTTCACATAAGTGTTCTATTTACTTTAAATGTTCGATTAAGTTATATTTACTTAATATTATATTTTCAAATGAAGCTAGAAATATGCTTATACAAGAATAAAAATACAGAAATCGAAAAAAGAAGAAAAAAAAAATTTCAAGAATTTTCTATATTATATACAAGACATAAGAACCAAAAATTGGAATATTACTCGGGACTTATATAGCACGCAAGTTAGTTGAAAATAAAAAATATAAAGCAGAGTAAAATACTACAAAAATTTAAAAAAAAAAGAATACAATCTATATCCTGAGTTAAGTTAATAATCTAATTGTTCACCTTCTAATCTTTCTCCTGTAGTAGAATTATAAGCTTCATAATTGGCTAAAACATCTTTTAAATCGGATGCTTTTACTCGAACATATCGTTCTTCTGCATTACTTGTTTCATCATTAGGTGATTCATAATTTATTCCACCATCCGTATTTTCTGTATAATATCGTGATGTTGTTGTAGTTGTTGTTCGTCTTTCATTATTTCGAAAATCAACTTCTTCCGATGGCATATCATATATATGTGAACCAAGTTTTGTTAAGAGATGTGCTGGAAATTTACCACCACTATTTGCATGTGATCGTAAGAGTACTTCTTCAGTAAGAAGAGCTCCATTAGATGAAATACCATCTCTACTAGAATGATTAGTTTCATACATAATCGATTGAGAATTATTTGGTGAACGTTCATAAAGCATTTGTTGTTGTTGATGTTGATCATCATAATCATCAAGAATACCTGATTGAGTTGAGGATTGAATAAGACGTGTTATTGTATTATTTTGTCGAGAAGATGATGATTGTCGATTATAACTAAAAAGAAAATTTGTTAGGTTTCAAAAACTGAAATAAGAAAATTTTGTTTTTGTTACCCATTAAGAATTTGTCGAACATTATATTCATCTGTTTGTTCAATAGCATTATCTTCACGCATTACAGATGATTGTTGTTCTTGCATTAAAGCTAATTCTTCTTGTAAACCTAATTCAGTTAATTTTCGTTGAACAAATTCTGTTGTATATAATTTATCTCCATGTTGTGTATGATAACGTTGTGGATCAGCTTGTGAAATTCCTAATTTTTTCACATGTTTAACAACTTCAATTTCAGGTGGACGCCATTCAATAATAGTATTTTTTACACGAGTTTGTGGAGCTAATGGTTTAGCTTTTTCATGAATAACTTGACGTTTTTGTTTATGATAGGGAAGCCAACGTTCAATAATTACTGGACGTGGCTTCGGTGGAAGTTTTGGTAGACGTTCAATGATTAATTTACGTGGTGGTGGTGGAGGTGGAGGAATAACCTCTAAAGAAAAATTTCGAATGAGATTGTTAAGAATAATTATAAAACTCTTACTTTTAATTATAGTTGTTGGCACAGATTTTGGACGTGAAGGTGGTTTTTCACGAATTATAACTGGTGAAGGTGTACGTGGTGGTGGAGGACGTTGACGAAGAATTATTGGCGGTGCAGGGGGTAGAGATGGTGCACGAATTTCACGAATAATAATTGGCTATAGTAAATAGAAATAGAGACAATTATTTATTATATTAGAGAAAAAAGAAATGTTTACTCCTGGAGGTGGTGGTGTACCAGGTTTTAAATATCGAACAGCAATATCTTGTGTATATGTTAATCGTTGGGTATTTGGTCGAACAATTAATTCTGGATTTGTATCAACATTAATTGGGTAATTTTTGATATCAGGTGTTGCTTGTTCTGTTAATGCTTGAACTTCTTGATCTTCATTTACTGTATTCATATAGGATGTATATCGTCTTGCAGTTCCATCCTCTAAATAACGATTTGATGAGTCACTTTCACCATCGCGATAATAATATTCTCTAGAGCCTGATCGTGATAATTCTTCCATATTATCATCTGATGTAATAGCATTTGAATAAGTGACTGTATTACCATCGGCATTTGAATAACGTACATTAGTATCATCGTATTCATCTGTTACTTTATTAACTGTTGAACGTCTTGTACGACTGGTGGTTGGTATATCAAGAACATATCGACGAGGTGGTGTAGCTGTAGAACCTGTTGATGAAGGAGATAATGCTACACCAGAATCCGAGCCGGCAGTATTAGTATTAGTATTAGTAGTAGCTGTATTTCTTGTTGCTTGACGTCCGAGCTGACGAGTTGTAGTTGCCATCTAGAACATATTATAATTCTTTGAAACTCATATTTATTTTCTTATTCTATTCGATATAAAGAACATATATAAAAAAAAACGCAATGTTATTTTAACAATTGCTAAAAATATGACACGTATTTTTACCTGAAGATATTCCCTATATATAAACAAAATTACGAACAGACATCATTTAAATATATATATATTCATAATACGAGACAAAAATAAAAATTTATGACATTGACAATGATAAAACAATATAAAAAAAATAGTCATAATATCACACTCACTATTTGACTATTTATCAGTAAAAATCAAGATATATATATGATGCTCTTTTTTCTCTTATTTTTTTTTGTATCACCTGTATGTTGTAATATCTCTACTTCTCTATCAATACTCAAAAAAAGATCGATTGTAAATGACATGTAGGCGTCGAGTAGCCAAATCTAAAAAAAAGTCTTCCAATATAAATTATTCTTTTTCAAGATTTGTATAGATGCATGAAAAAAAAAATCAAAGTATGTTTGTATAGTACGAAAAATTAGAATAGAGAAAAAAAAGGACATTCTTTCTCACCTATGTGATGTTGTTGCGTTTAGTAATGACGTACACGTGTGTTAATAAATAAAACGAAGAAGGTTCTTTCGATTTTTATTGATTGACTAATCAAGCACGGTTAATTGCTATTCTTATTACACTAATAATGAGCACGATATAAAAAAAAACTATGCATCTATAGTTTTAATGATTTATGGAAATTTCTTGATGTCTGGCTATTGATTATGAATATATGTATTTATATATTACCTTTTCTCGTCTTTTTGTCCGTTATATTATAAATTCCATTCTCTTTAATCAAAAAGAAACTTGGCATGTGTCTGCAGAAGAACAAATATTATTTGTCAAAGTTTATTATTCGACTATCGTTTTTGCTCTGTGTTTCAAGGTCACCTACTATTACTATTACCTGAATAAAAAAAAATGAATCTAATTGACATGTATATATACACTACGTTGTCTTAGTCACTCGATATAAACGACCTTTTTTTCTGTAATCGGCTGCTTACAGACAAGTAGATGATATGAATGATGTAGAAAGAAAAGAAGAAAAAAAAACAACCACTACTAAAAAAAACCAAACCATGGCACTCTTTTCTTTTTTTTTAAAGGACGAAAGGCTATATATAGGTATCTTTTTTTTCTCTCTTATTTAATCACGTGAATAATAGACTGTTAATAATTATTTTAAAATGTATATTAGCTATTAGATTTGTGTTTGGTGTTGTTGTTATTATTATTATCATCTTGATTGAAATTCACAATAGAAATATATTTCATAGATCAATAAGAGTATAGAAAAAAGATAAAGAATAGGACAACATATAAAGTAAAAGTAAATATACTTTGTTTTATGCGAGAAATGATACTTGAAAAGAGCATACGTAAGAAGAATACAACCTTTGTTATTCAATGTGTCAGGTGAATCAGACAAAATACTATTACCAGTCGTCTTTTCTTTATCAAATGTCAAAATATTGAGGAAAGTTTAATCAAAATATATATAGAAACATGCATTTCGACTGAATTTATTCCCTTGATTTTTAAAGAATATTGTAACAGAGTGACTATAATTACTTCCGATATTCATAAATGAATACAAATATTGTTTGAAGATATATGATATTAGGAATCTATTCTTATACTCTAGTCATGTACGAAAACTAAAAGAGTAAATATAAATAATATAAGCTAATAAAAAAGCATGAGTCTTTGAAAAGAAAAAAAAGAGAAGTATGACAATCAGCAAGTTTATTATCCACTCGTCTGCTACAGGTAATGTCCTCTTCACGTATTACTCAAAGAATATAAACTGATAAAAAAATACTTATAGTTGTATGAAACATTACGCAATGAATTTGATATATTTAACAAAGATGATCTTATTTTTCGAACGTTATCTCATAAATTATAAAGATTTAATCTAAAGAGTAACTGTAACTGATGAGTTTAATTTTATGTAAACACTACAACAGGTAATGGGATCGTGAGGCTGTGTGTTGTATGTATTCATCTACACCCACTGTCTCTCGTAAGCAAGTTTATTTTCCAACTGATATCAACAATGCGATAGAACCGATTATGCATGATAATACGTTTATAATGGTTTAAAACATCTTTAGGTCTACTAAATTTGTGATTTTTTTCAAAACTATTTACAATACAAATTTTTGAAATATTTTCCTTTTTGTAACAGAAACTCTCAAGTTCTCACGATATTCTTGAATCAATAGCTGTTTTTTATTCATTGATACAGTAAGTTTGTTTTAATAAATTTCCTTGTGGGCATTTAGCAATATTCATTGAATAAATAATATTTATTTTTCAGTATAGTTTTCATGAAAGTGCTGTAGGCACGTTGATATATTGGAGTAACTGCGCAGATGAAGACAAGAGAAAATTGAAAAGAATAATTATAAAACGAAATTATTTCGTGACTTTCGTTCTGTTAGTTTTATGACGAACGTTGTTAAAAATATTATTTTAATAGTTTGACCCTTCTCTTCACACCAATGTTTTGAAAAGAATAAACAAGAAAAATACGCCACTGCCATTATAAATAAGAGTGGTGAGTTTTATTACAAGCCATAAGAAAGAAAACATAAGTGAATCAGGATTAAATCGAAAAATTTCTCCATCATCAAACGCGTTCATGAATAACAATAATGCCATCTGATATTCTTCAACCAAGGCGACGGATGATTCAAAATTACTCAGTCCTTTGGTTAGATGAGTGTATCGATGAAACAAACAAGGTTTACCAGAGTAATTTAGTTCAAGTGCGAACCGTTATTGACAATGTCCATGTCTTTAAACAACGAGATGAATGTATCGACTTTCTTACAGATGCTCAAAACATCAAATCCTTTCTCGTTGTCGAGAATAGTATGATACAACAAATAATGTTTCTCATCAATGATATCCCTCAGTTAGATAGTGTTTATATCTTCAGTAACATTAAATTCTCACATGAAGAATGGACAACAGAATGGCAAAAAATCAAGAGTGTGGATACTAAGATCGATGATCTATGCCAAGTATTAAAATTTAATGTCGACCAATATAATCAAGACTCGATTGCTATGAGTTTTATTTCAGTAAATCAAATGATTTCAACTGACAATCTTAATCAGTTGGAGCCGACATTTATGTATACCCAGATATTCAAGGAAATTCTTCTTGATATAGAACATGATAAACAAGCCATCAAACAGTTTACCGCTTATTGCCGACAGAATGAATGCATGTCACCAATCTATATTGACCGTTTTGAGAAAGAATACCACGCTCAATTAGCTATTTGGTGGTATACTTTCCCATCCAATATCTATTCTATGCTCAATTATGCGCTTCGAACATTGGACGCCGATATAATTATTAATATGGGTTTCTTTCTCCATGATCTTCATCAACAAATTCAAAATCTGTATGAACAACAGGTCAATACTTATGAAAGAAAACTTTTTGTAATTTATCGAGGACAAGGTTTAATGATATCAGACTTCGAAAAACTTCAGAAAACAAAAGGTGGATTAATATCATTTAATAACTTCTTGTCCACGAGTAAAGATAAATATGTGTCCATGCGTTTTGCTCAACGTGCTTCTACAGAACCAAATAAAGTGGGTATTCTCTTTATAATGTCCATTGATCCTTGGGTGAAATCAGTACCATTTGCATCCGTCAAGGAAGTGAGCGCTATAAAGAGCGAAGATGAAATTATCTTCTCAATGCACACCGTCTTCCGAATGGGTACAATTCAACAAATGCAGAATAACAATCAACTTTATCAAGTTGAACTTCAGTTAACTTCCGATGATGACCAACAACTACGATTACTTACTAACACGATACGACAAGAAGTTCGCGGTCTTACTGGATGGCAACGATTGGGTGATTTATTGCTTATAACTGGTCAATTCACTAAAGCTGAAGAACTTTACAATGTTTTACTCAATCAGGCATCTAATAATGATGAAAAATTGCTTTATTATAATCAGCTTGGGATAGTACATAAGAATCAAGGTGATTATAAAAAAGCCATTTGTTACTACAAACAAGTGCTTGAAATTCAACAAAAATCTCCTCCTTCAAATCATCCTTCACTAGCTACTTCATACAACAACATCGGTATGGTGTATAACAATATTGGAGACTACTCGAAAGCACTTTCATTTCACGAAAAAGCACTTGAAATTGATCAAAAAACTCTTCCTTCGAATCATCCTGACTTAGCTGCTTCATATTGTAATATTGGTAGTGTGTATGAGAATATGGGAGAATACTCGAAAGCACTTTCCTTTTATAAAAAAGCATTGGAAATTCGATACAAAATTCTTCCTTCAAACCATCCTACTTTGACTATTTCATACAACAGCATAGGTTTGGTGTATCAGCGAATGGGAGAGTATTCGAAAGCACTTTCATTTTATGAAAAAGCACTTGAAATTCAACAAAAAACGCTTCCTTCAAATCATCCTTCATTGGCTACTTCATACAACAACATTGGTACTGTGCATTGGAACATGGTAAAGTACTCGAAGGCGCTTTCATCTTACGAGAAAGCA